ACTGTAATCTAAAAACTCAGTTTTCACATGACAATGAGTTGGGAAGACACATTTTCCCTGTGCCTCACTGCTACACTGGGGACTGTGGATTGTCTTCACAGCATGCTAATGTCCTGTTTTCTTTCTTTGATGGGCTAGCCATTAGCCACCACTTTCTCTGAAATTCCAGGAATCTTTAAGGAAACTTCAGAAAGATTTTAAGAATCTTATTTGGCAGTGATAAATATTATACCTGTATCATTCTGTTGGCATAGAATGAACTTTAACTTCTCTTGGTGGTTTCCTTTAGATTATATTCTGCCAAAGATACCTGGTGCTTTGGTAAAGACAGACTTCACACCGCGGTGACTAAGCAAAGTCCTTACATAAAGCTTGGAATCTGATTTTTAAAAATAGTTCTAATGAAGGACATTTAGAAATAAGCAGGAAAAGAAATCTTACACTTATGAAAAATGACTTTTAGGACACCACTTAAAAATTCACAGTAAGCCCTATTCACTTAAATGTGAAAACAAACCATAAACAAAGTCTAAAGGAAGGACAGCATGTTTTCCACGGCAGCTGCTTATTGAAAACGAGGGTCTACGAGTGTGTCCCAATTTCATCCTTTTGAATTGTGCAGCTCAGATAAATGTTTATTTTACTGAAAATATCTGCAAAATTACAACATAAATGCATGATTATATTAGGGTAGGATGACTATCCATAATGTATTCTGATCCACAGGTATAAAATGAATGCAGTAAATATAGTATACCCTCGATGGATTGTTAGTACACAGTGTTTCTTAGTAAAGTACATACAACCTATTGTTAAGCAACAATAATCTAGTTTTCAAATGTACATCTTAGGAAGTTTTTAGGATGAAAGGATACACTAAGTCCCCCAATACCATTTTTGTTTGGTGAAAGTTTGTTCTGCAAATTTTGAAATAGTATCTTTATCTCAGTAATTGTTCTTGGGCTCTTTGCATTTCCTCAATTTGAAATTTTATTTCTTTAGTTGGGTGTTTTCTTAATGACACCAGATTGGCCAACTATACTTTTAATTCTAATACAATCATGTACTGTCTTTTCATTAGTTATTTTAACACATATCAACAATGAAACAGAATCATTCAAAAAAATTTGTCAGCACAAATTCCCAAAATTAACTTTCAGGGTATTATGGGGAGTCTCAACTAGATATAGTCTCAACTGTAATATTAATCTGGGCTAGAAATAGGTTTTTGGTTGTGGTTTTTTTTTTAATTCTAGTCCTTAAAAATACAAATATGAACTCTACTTTAAAATTCTTTGTTAAAGGTATTGGGATTTGTTTCAAAAGCATCTTCTACCCTTTTCCATTACACTGATTTAATGGAAACGACAGCAGTTCCAACACAAACATATGCATGCAAGAGATCACCCTATAGATTCTAACTACATAGTTACTGAAACACATCCCACCTGTCAAGTGGCATAAATGTACATCTTTTATATACAAAAGGTAAAGTGCATTATTAAATTAGTGAACTGACAGATTGTCTGCCTGGATCATATAGCTTTCAAATAGACAAATGTGAAATTCTCCCATTAGAACCAATTATTTCAAGAGGTTCCAACTAGCTTTTCCACCCTGTCATTTATTTTTTGGCCATGCTCTTTAGTGCAAATAAGCTTGTGTTTGACTCAAGTTTAAGGGACATGGCAATTTGGGGCTTTAACAAGAAAAATTATAAAATGTGGCAGAACGTTAATACTTTTATAATACATTGCATCTTTTGCATATAAGCAACAGATTAGTGTTGCTTTCAGTTGCTAGGAGCACACTACCAACAATTATGAGGAACCCGTTTCCAAATTTCATACTATTAGCTTATATTATTACAGTTTGAGTCTGTACCACATTATGCTTGGGTTATTATGTGCAAACATCACCAGTGTTTTACAATTATACAGTGAACTAGTAATTTTGGTTACTAACTTTAATGCTCATTTTTTGACTTCTAACATCCAGTTGCCTTGAGTTTAATGTCTTCAAGGCAGGAATCCTGTTATTTTGAAGAATACCATGTACACTGCAGCTCCATTTATGTCACAAATGACAATAAATAAAGTGGATATTGCACAGGTAAGAATAGTAGCTTATTTATAAGATACATGGCATACACGTCCTAATACCAGAGTTTTGATCTAGATCTTATTTGATTATGGCTAATGATTGATTGGAAATTTTAAGTATCAAAAAATCATAGCATAATTTCAATTTTTCAATGAATACAAACTATGAAAAAATGAAACAAGGACTGGCAGAAGGCTTAATGATTCTAAAGCATATTCAATTGCCGGTAATAATAGATGGTATATATGCATCTATTCAATCTGTAGTTTTGAGGTGGTAAAAACTTTGAAGTATACATACAATATAGAAAATTTGGCTGCTTAACTAATTTTCTTAAATAATTAGTGCAAAATTAAACTAATAATACTTATGTACAATAAATTAAAGATATTTATCTTTAAGTCTGACATAGTACTGTGTGTGTATGTATATATAATACATATATACACACACATACATATATATACATACACATATAGGTGTGTCTATACATATACATATGTATAGACACACACTCAAATCTTATCAGACTAAAACCAAAACAGAAATCATTTAGGCTTAACGGATATAAATATTTTAGAAGGGAAGGTTTTAAGAGAGAATACAGTCACAGCAGTAGTGATAGGAACACTCAAATACTAGAATATTCACAGCTCCAGTTTGCCAAGATCTGACAGGTTGATTATTAATAGGCACTATGATGGGCAGCAATAACAATCAGTAGTACAGTAATTCAAGTGCACACCACTCCTTCATATACCCAAAACTACCTTTATCAAGCCTACAATAGTTATTTTACAGGTAGGACTGTTTAAATATCCTTGATAGTTTTAGAGTCTGAACACCCACCATGTGCTATTAACTCTAGTACTAACATTTTCTTCTAACCTTCCGTTGTTCCATAGTGATCCAGATGGTCCACAACTATAATGAACTAATGACATTCCTCCATACTACTTGAGGAAATGTGAAATGTAATCTGCAAACCAACACAAGAATATATGTCCGGGTTATTGAATGCTTGTTTTTAAGTCACATAAATCGTGAAATTAGTTTTCTTAATTCATATCATAAAGCTTGCTTAGTGATCTTACTTAAACGTATTTGAGGACAAATCTCTGAAGAAAGAAATTGTTAAAATAACCTTGAGTTACATATAGCATATAAAAGAAGAGCTATATTCTGATCTCAATCCATGCAGCCAGCTCTCAATGAGAGCTATATTTGGGGGTTGAAATCAGTATCTGACCCTTACATGATTATATGGACTTATTGTGTGGGAGGGGAAAAAGCCAAGATAAAAGACAATAATTTCATTCAGAATAAAATGCAGCTCAACAGATAAAAGTTAGTCGGTTAATACAGTGTGGGTTGGTACACATAGACACTATAACCACTTGTTTAAAAAATTGCTTAGGTGTTGAAAAATTGCTGTGGCACTTCCTGGAAAGTAATTTTTAATACATGTAAGTGGGTTAGTCTTGTGTAAAGTAAACCTTTTTAAGTATTATAAAGAGCACCTTGGAAAATGCCTGAATTTTCCTTTCAAATATACTTATAACCAATTTTCAAATAATATTTTTCCCAGGCTGAAAATTTATATTCTAAATGCTTTTTAGAAAAATCCTTTTTTCCCCCCCTCCTGGAATTAAAACACCTGTAAAAATCAGGTTTATACTGGAAGTGTTGACTCAGTTTTAAGGGTAGCAATTGCAAAAGTGCTACTAAAATATATTATTACAGATGTATTTTTGTATCAGTTAACTGGTGCACCAACCCCTCTGAAATAGTGTTAAAGGAGAAGCATAAAATATAACACCTCAAGTCTGTGATATATTTTGGGGAAAAAAACCTCTCACAACCTTCAAATTAGCACGAAAAGCTAAAATACCAAAATTTCCATGGCAAAGCCACAGGATGAAGCTTTCCCCTCAAGAGTGACATAAAAGTAATTCCTGAAACTTGGGAAAGTCAATAGAAACCTATGATACAGTAAACAGAAGTGAAGATGGGATTGTGGCTAACTTAGAATAGCCAATTAAAACTCTCCCACGGCTTTGATATGGCAGCTGTATCAAACCCTATCTACTGTAGGGTTACCACAAAATTTTAAATCACGGAGTAATACAGTAACTCTAAGATTTCTTTAATGGTACCACTTAATATTCAGTTATCCAATGGATAAAATTAATATGTTTCCACTCGTACTTTTCTAAATAAATATAGTTATACTGTACTTGAGGTCAATTTGTTTCTGCGGTAACTGTCCTACAGGTAAGCTTAGCAGCTTTTAATGATGTAGGAATGGGGCACTTTTTGGGGGGAACTTGTTAAATAGTATTAAGTGTATGTATCTTTTTGCAGGGTAGTGTCGTAGTGCAATGCAAATGCTAGTTATGGTGTTTAGAAGGTCAGAAGGTGGCATTTTGTGCTGACTTGCGTACTTCAATAGTACTTCTGGAGCAGATGAAGCAGCTAAACTATGTAGCTCCGGGAAGGTGGGAATTCCCGTAAGAATTAGTGTCCTATGTGGAACATAACGCGAGCATCGGACTCCTTGAAGTCTAAACTATAGAGGTATTACTACTAATAACAAAGGGCCAAAAAAAAAAAAAAAAAAAAAAAAAAAAGAGGAGAAACTTCTTCAAATGATTACGGATCAGTACTTTTAGCCAATTTATGATCTTAAACTTTGCCTGATGGAGTTCCATTCCACGCTAGCCGAGGCATTCTTGCTCTTCTCCACCGGCCCTCGCGCCATCCATTCTCTTTTCTTTATGGCTGTTGCATATTTTCCTCATCTCCTCTTCATACTTGATAAAATTCTCCCCAAACCTTGTCCAAGCTTTGAACGGAACAGTAATAGTATTACGGTAAGGCGGCCTCACCTCACTTACCTTCAGGAAAATGCCATATTTATTAGAGCCCACATCAAAGTAGAACCTTTTATTGTCCACTCTGAAAGAAGTCCCCTCGGGGAGCTCCAGCGGGTCGTCGTCCCCACACCTCCGCTCCTCGAGGTCCCCTTCGCCGTAGTCTTCGATGAGCTGAACCAAGGCATCGCGAAACTCGATCATCCCCTGCGCCGGCAGGACGATCGTCTGTTCCTGGCCCAGACCGTGGCCAAAGTACCCGATCACGCCGGCGCCCCGCAGCACCGTCTGCCGGATCCGCAGGAAGCGCCCCCGCTGGTTTTCCTTCAGGTCGAGGTAATATTTCCTGTTGTCCCGCTCGATGTAGTCCGTTTTGAGGACGCTGTGGGGGTGCTCCTCGGACCCCACGGAGGCCGGCGGGGAGGGCGCCGCGCGCCTGGCTCTCCTCCGGGCGCCCTGCTCTCTGCCGTGGCCCGGCTCGGGCCGGTGGCCCCTCAGGCCCAGGTGGGCGTAATGCTCGATGAAGTCGCCCAGACAGTCCTTCAGCTCCGCCGCCACCGACAGGGAGAGGGTCAGCTTGCTCTTCCTGACATTGTCCTGCCGGCCTCTGCCCACCCACACCTCGGCTATCTTCAGGAACCGGCCGCGGGAGCTCTGCTTCACGTCCAGGTAGAACCTCTTCTTCTGGATGTCCACGCGCTTGGAGGCCAGCTCCTGGATTTCCGCCGCGCCCCCCGCCTGGTTGGCCGTGGCCAAGGCCGCGTAGTTGGGGTAGTGGGCGTGCTGGGCCTGGGGATACAGCCGGCTCTTGCCCAGGCCGAAGCCCCCCACGGTCTTGCCTCCGCGCCCGCGCCCGCCGCCGCCGCCTCCCCTCCGCCTGGCTCGCTCCATCTTCAGCTGCAAGTGACAAACAGACACACGGGGCGGGGTGGGGGAGGGGTGCTGAGAACAATCGCGGACGCCCCTCGGCCTGCGC